ATACATATATGTAGCTTTTACCCATCAAAGCAAACTACTCTCAAGAGCCAATGTATTTGTTTCTTTTGGTATGTGAACTAGGAGGGGAAAGTAAATACAAGTTTAAGCTTATGGCTCTATGTAAATTTTTTTTTTCCGTCTCAGATAAGTAGTGTCTTGGAAAACTGGCATTTGGAACTGGTTTGGAGCTTTCATGAAGTAACTCTAATTTTGAAGAATTTCTTTGGAACAACAAATATGGATGGTTTAGCATTTCTTGTTTATTTGTTTGGTCTAGGTTTCTACAACTTGTTCACTTTGAAATCCTGCCATTCTCTTGGGAGCTCATTAGAGTCATAGTGTCTAATGACTTTGGCGAGGTGGCTCAGTGGAGAGAGCATTGGGCCTAGAGTCAGAAACATCTGAGTTGAAATCCAGCTTTAGACACTTACTAGCTGTGTAAACCTGGGTAAATCACTGAACCTCAGCTTTAGTTTCTTCAACTTTAAAATGGAGAAAATAATAATGGCACCTACCTCATAGAGTTGTTGGGAGGATCAAAAGAAATAATATTTGTAAAATGCTTGACACATAAGAAGCTCTGTATGACTGTATGTCCCCTGACCCTTCCTCTTCCATTCTTTCAAAATATTTAGCTATATAACAGATGGATTGAAAAACCATCTTAGCGATTTGATTACCAATTTGTTCACAGTCACGGGGCTTTAGTAACCAAATCACTCAGATATTTTCTATTGATGCTATTGCTAATCTGACCAACATTCCCTCAAAGAGAACATTCACCTGCATAAGAACTAAGTAATATTATCTTTATAAAAATGAGTTTGGGTATTGGATGGTATTGAATGCATTTTGTTGTTCCTGCTGAGTTTCTTTCTAGCTTCTGGTGAAAAGATTATTCTTGACCTTGGAGATACCTGAAAAGTTATCAGACACATTGGAAGAAATAATTTGGCATGTTGAAGCTACAGGTTTGATGTTACATCAAGGCATAATTATAAATTTGTGATTAAAAAAAAACCTTTTTTTAATCATGTGCCTTGGCCAATGGAAACAAAGCACATGGCTTGGCCCTTAGAACTGCTTATGCTCCCTCAATCTAATATTGTGCACTAGACACTGTGCTAAACACCGAGGATGCACAAAAAGACAAAATCATTCCCTGTCCCTAAGAATCTTACATACATTAATATAAGATGGGGAGGGGGGAGATTAGGGAGAGAGAACATGTACAAAAGTAAGTATGTACAAAGTAAGTACAAGGCAATTTCAATGGGAGGTCCTGGACACTGGGGGTGAGGGGAGACAACAGGAAATGCCTTATGAAGGAGATGGTTTTTAAGCAGAATTTTAAAGGAATCTAGGGTTTCCAAGAGGTGGATTTAAAGAATGAACACATACCAGACAGTGGGGACAGCCAGTAAAAAGACACACAGGGGCAGCTAGATGGTGAAGTGGATAGAGCATCAGTCCTGGAGTTGGGAGGACCTGAGTTCAAATCTGGCCTCAGACATTTGACACTTACTAGCTGTGTAATCCTGGGCAAGTCACATAACCCCCATTGCTTTGCAAAAAAAAAAAAAAGACACAGAAACAGAGATGGAATGTCATGTATGATTAGCAGCAAAACTATATAGGCAGAATGATTATCTCTCCTTAGATGGTTCCCAAATCTAGTCCTAATCTCTATTTTGAACTCAAGTACCACCTTACCAACTTCTTGTTAGACATCTTTGCTGAAATGTCGAAGTGGCATCTCAAACTCAACGTGTCCAAAATAGAACTCGTTAACTTCCTCTCTTAAGTTTCCCTATTTCTGTCAAGGTCATCACCATCCTTCTTGCCACCCAGATTTGCAATTTCTGATTTATTCTTTACTCTTCCTTCTGTCCATCCTCGCTCCTTTGATTAAAGATCTTTAGTGACTCTTTGTTCCCATTAGGATAAAATGCAGGATCTTCAGCGGAACTTTTTAAGCCTTCATAGTCCGACTCCTACTTAACTTTCCAGTGCCCTTTTATTCTCCCTCAGCCCAATTGTACAATTAGTTGTCATGACTTTTCAATTCCACTTAATCATTAGCATTTAAACTCCACTCTATTTGCTGCTCCATCTAGCTGCCTACTTCTAGGACCATTTTTTGCATCTGTCTTCTTCTTCTACTCAGGTGGCCACTACCCTAATTCAGGCTCTGTCACTGTTCTCTCAATCTCCTCGGCTCCTAGGTTCTACTCCTTCACCCAATGACAGGCATACACAGAAATGTCCACATTCTTTTGATTTCACAAGTGTTCCACTTCCATAATCAAGAATCCTGAGATTTATCTAGCCATAGTCTGCCATCATTCCACCTCTCCTTGTGCTTCCCTTCTTCCAAATTAATTCTATGTCCCCACTTGGAACTCTAGTCCTTCTGCCACACCTCAATACTCTTCCAGGCTATCATCCCTAGCTTCATTTTCCTTCCTTCCAAATCTTATCCCTATGGTCAATCACTTCATTGTTACACTGTCCTCTACTCTCAAATGCCTCTTCCCTTTGTCCCATGATCATTTTTTCCTTGACAAATCATAGTTCAAACTTGGATTCCTCCAACCATCCATGTCTTCTGATGTTACTCATGTGCTGCAGCAGAAGTTATACAACTATGCTAACTTGGTTCACTAGTAATTTATGTTACTGAATTTCGGCTGAGTCCTCACTTCAACACAAGGCAATGCTTCTACTCCTCTCTAGTTAATTTTCTATTGCTAGTCTATCAGAGGCTTTTCCAAACTTTCTTCTCCCCTCAAGCCTTTGTACATCCCTCCCTCCCCCTACCTTTCAACAGAAGATCTTATCTCATACTTTACTAAGAAAATACAGGCTATTCATCACAAGTTCTCTATATAACCAACACATTGGTGTCATCCCCAACTCTTTCCTTCTTTACTTCAACCTTTGATGAGGATTCTCCTCACCAAGGCCAATCATCCTGCATGTACCCTTCACCTATCCTCTGAACCTTCCCTAAATTCCCATCTCTCTATAACTATTGGCTCTTTGCCTAGTCCCTACTCTCATCCTTAAAAAAAATCCTCATCGTACTCTACTATCCATTCAAGCTATTATTCCATATCTCTCCTCCCTTTTGTAGCCAGATTCCTAGAAAAATTGGTGTACTCTCATTGTCTCAATTGACTCTCTTCTCCTTTAGTTCTCAATCCCTTGTGAACTTTATTCCAGCCTCAACCCTGAACTGAAATTATTTCTGATTACCAATGATCTTTGAAATGCCAAATATGATGTTATTTTCTCAATCTTAATTTTTTGACCTCTGTGAGCATTTGACTGCTAACTCCCCTCTGGTCCTATATATTTTCTTCTCCACGTTTGTGATACTGTTCTCTCTTACTCCTCCTATTACCTATCAGACTTCTCCTCAATCTCCTTTTCTGGCTGATTGTTCCCTCTTACTGTCCCTAACTATGAATATGCTTCAAGGTTCTCTTCAAGGTCCTTTTCTCTTTTTTCTCTATACTTCCTCTTGGCTACCTCATCAGCTCCCATGGGTCTAATCATCATCTCTTTGCAGATGATTCCTAGACCTATAGACCCAGCCTTAAACTGCCTCTTGAGCTCCAGTCCTACAATATCAGCTGGACCTTTTGAACTGCATGCCCTAAAGATAGCTCAAACTCAACATATCCAAAGAAAAACTGTATTTCCTAGGGGCAGCTAGGTGACATAGTGGATAGAGCACCAGCCCTGAAGTCAGGAGGACCTGAGTTCAAATCTGGCCTCAGACCTAACACTTGACACGTACTAGCTGTGTGACCTTGGGCAAGTCACTTAACCCCAATTGCCTCACTAAAAAACAAAACAAACCTGTATTTTCCCTAAAACTTATCCTTCTTCCAAATGTCCTTATTTCTCACATGGCTACTACTCCTGTTAGTCATGCATTTGCACAGTCTTGAAGTCATCCTTAACTTTTCACTCTTATTCTTGCCCCACACATCTAATCAGTTGGCATCTTGTTGAATCTACTTCCACAATATCTACTGTAAGTCACTTCCCAGTCTTCCTTCCCACAGCCACCACTCTGGTTCAGGCCCTCATTACCTCTCTGCTGGAGCCACATCTGTATTAGCTTTCTAATTAGTCTCCCTGCCTCATCTTTCACCCACTGCTCCTTTCAATCCATTCTTCAAGGAGTTTCTTAAAGCATAGGTCTGATCATGCCATTAGATGGAAAAGGAGGAACAAATGTACAAAAAGCATCTGCATTTCTGTGTGCCACAGCCAACAGTCCACACACCAATTACTAAGAGAAATGTCCTTTATGAAAATGATTATGTCAATTATTTGGACATCCCCTTATCAAGACATACAAAAGCCAACTTCAAAATTTGACAGAAATTGAGGAAGAACTGAATAGAGTTAGTTCAAGCATATTTATTAAAAATATCAAAATTTCACAAACTTACTTAAAAATTTAATGCAATACCAATCAAAATACTAACAGGTTAGTTCAAAGAATTGGATAGAATCTTGAAATTCATGTAGAAAAATATGTGGATAAGAATATTATGACTATGAAAAAGAATTAAGATTTAAGTCTAGATTATCTCTAAGTTCCTATTTAGCTCTGACGTCCTATGGATTTATTAATCTAGTGCCTTCCCTCTGTTGATCATCTTCAATTTATCCCAATATAACTTATTTCTATATAGTTGTTTGCATGTGGTCTTCCTCATCACATTATGAATTCCGTCAAAGCAAGAATTCTCTTTTACCTGTTTTTGAATGCTCAGCACTTAGCCTGGCACATAGTAGGCCCTTAATAAATGTTTAGTGAGAGACTGGCTGACTGAATATAAGATCTAGATGAGGTGTAAAAGTTGATTCTGTTGGAAAGTCTCCCATAATGTGCCAGACAGTGAAACATTTTCAGTAGGTACTTCCTCTAATGTAATATATAATGAATAAATGACCTTTCTCTTTTTTTCTTTTGACAGGAGTCTTACATTATTTCTCTAGAACTGAGAGAAAAATGTGAAGCCATAAGTGAAAAGTTATTGTATTTGGAAGATCAACTTCATGCTGCAATCTATAGCCATGATGAAGGTCTTGTTCATATCCTTTTAATCTTGTATAGATTTACCACCTGCCAAGTTATAACTCCAGATTAAAAAAAAAGAAAACAACTAAAAATGAATCATGATCAATGAGTAATACAGCAGTTGGAAACAAGTAGATTTTTCTATTATTTTCTATGGGAGGCACTTCTAAGATCTTGGAAATCAATCACAAATCAATCACAAATCAATCACAACATACAATAAGTTTCCTCTTGCTCCAGGTAAGGAAATAATAGGAATTTGGAATTGTAGATTCTCCAGGAACTCAGAGGTCATTATGTCCAACCCATACCTGAGCTAGAATTCCATCTATTTTCATCAATGATAAGTAGACATCTATCTACCACTTGTGTATCCACTGCTTGGTAACTTACTTCCTCTCCATCTTTCCCCACCAATAAGACAATATATGCCACTTTGGCAAAATTCTACTTTTTAGAAAGTTTGTCCTTAGATTGAGTCAAAATCTATTTCTCAACAATTTAAAGTTAATGGGAACAAGTGGGAAAGTTCTTCTACACATCAGTTAAGTCCAACTGCATATGCATGGATGGGGAGAGTACAACTACTTTTTCTGTGAAAAAGACATGAGGAATGTAATAGATTCCTAGTTAAGTGAATTAATAGTATAACACAACAGCTCATTGCTTGCCCCCCCCCCCAAAAAAAGAAAAAGAGTTAATGTGATATTTAGGCTGCATTATTAGAAACAAAGCATTCAAAATGAAGGTTTTTGTGGTTCCACTAAACTCTGCTTTGTTCAGACTGCAGTTGGAGTCATATATTTAGTTGTGAGTACCATATTTTAGAAAGGGAATTGACAAGCTGAAGGATGTACAGAGAAAGGCAACCAGGGCAAAGGGGACAGTTAAAATCATGCTATACAAGGATCAGTTGAAAGAACTGGGGATGTTTAGCCTGAAGAATAGAAGATTTGGTAGAGCAAGTGAAAAGAGAAAGCATGGTAGCTCTCACCAAGTATTTGAAGGGCTATCATGTGGAAGAGGTCATAATAATAATGACAACAATAGCATTATATAGTGTTTTAAGGCTTGCAAAATGTTTTACATGTGCTAATTATTGATCATTTTATCCTTATAACAACTGTGGGAGGTAAGTAAAATGTTATTTCCATTTTATAGATGAGGAAACTAAGGCTAACAGTGGTTAGGTGGCTTGCCCAAGGTTACACAGCTAATAAATGTCTAATACTAAATTTGAATTCAGCTCCTCCTGATTCCAAGTCCATTTCTGTCCACTGAGACACCAGTCTGATAGTAGATTTGTTCTTCTTGGCTTTTGATCAAAATGAAACTAAGACTAATGGGAGAAGTTACAGAAAGGCTTGATGTAAGAACAACCTTTGTAGTAATCAGATCTGCCCTGAAATGGAATGGAGTGCCCTGGGAGGTGGTATATTCCTCTTTACTGAAGGTTTTCAAATGCAGGCTGACTGACTACTTGTCAGCCATGCTGATTGAAATAGAAGGTCTTCTGGCTCAGATACAAATTGGACAAATGGATCCTGAGGTCCCTTCCAATTCTGAGATTCTACGATATTGGTCTTTCACTCTTTTGCTATGTAATTATCATGTTGTCATACCTCATGTTTTGACGTCAATTCTGCAACAAGAATTAGATGTAGAATATGATCTCTTAGAGGTCAGGGTAAGTCTCTCTTTCATATTTGTATCCTCAGTTCCTGGCATATAGTAGGTGCTTAATAAATGATTATTGATTAAGCGATGGGAGAAAATATAAGTATTGTCTTTTATACACTTTGGTTTAATATTGTAGCATTCTCAATTCCTTCTTAGAATGCTATAAAAAGCCTTTGAGGCCTGAGACTTCTCTTTGCTGTCATCATCATCATCACCATTATCATAACTAGCATTTAAAGTTTGCAAAGCATTTGATGCATGTTAATTGATCCTCACAATCCTGTGAAGTAGGTGCTATTATTATCCCTATTTTACAGATGAGAAAATGGAGGCTGAGATGTTAAGTGACTTGCCTAGTGTCACACAGCTAGTAAGAACCTAAGGCAGGATTCAAACTCACATCCTCCTGACTCCAAGTCTAGCCCTTGAGTGACTGCAACACCTTGGCATTGCCTTTGTGTCTTACATTAACAGGTATTGGAGGATGAATCACTTCTTAGCACAAACATTTTACCCTTACTTCATCCTTTAACTTTAAAAAAAAAAAGTGAAGCAATGGGATGAAGGATGGTTGAAAATGAATTAGTTATTATCAGATAATGAAAATCAAAGAGCCAATAGAAGTGGGGATACCTTTCATTAGTGTTAATGCTTTTTTGCATACTAAATTGAAAACTATATTGAGCTCATTTCGATGTCACCTTTGCAGCTGAATTGTTAAATCGTCCTTGCCTCTAACTTTAATAACAGTAATTAAGGCAATTAAAAATACTAAAATCACAATGATAATATTAAAAGAATGAAAATCATTCTTTTCCATTCTTAAGTGAGGCTGCTTCTACAATGAGGCCTGACAGCATCATAATGTATGCTCTCAATTGGTTTTCTTGGTTCGTGTTATATTGTTACCTTCTGGTCACTCAAGGACAGACAGCATTGCTGCCAGTCAGTAGACTTCTTGCCTGGGAATCTGTCTTGACAGCTGGGAGGCTTTTGTCTAGAAAACTCTCTTCCAAGCAGAAATAAATACCTATAACATCTGTTGTGTCCCATCGCCTCCTACTAGGCAGTCCCACTCTTATAGGTAGAAGATTGAAAGCAGTCATCAAGAATGTGATATAGCCCTAATCTGAATCTATGACAGATAGCATCCTCATAGCCATCACTCAGATGCCTTTTTAAGTGCAGTCTGTGCCTGGACTTTGGAGTAATCCAGGCCATGCTGAAAAGTAAGCAACAAAGCAAGACCTTCACTCTGATATTACAGGAATGCAGCCATGTCATATAAGCTCCTAACTCCCTCTTTCAAAGGGTAAGAAATCAGGGTCATATAGAACAAATAGAGAATTTTTGGGAACACAAAAGATCATCAGACTGCTGCAGACAGACTGTGACAGGGCTCCCCAGGCCCTTCCCTGGCCCTTTACTCTATCCATTCTCCCACCAACTGTGTGCAGTGACCATGATCAGAGCTCAGCTGATGGGACATCATTATATCAGTGCTGCTCTGCAGTCCTGATCCCCCCTAATACTCTCACCTATCAAACCCAGATGTGAGCAGAGCCATTGGACTTCATCTGTGGTAAGTGGCCCCAGTAGAGTTCTGACCCCCACACCTGTTTCTAACAACAAACAAGCTTATAAACAGGTGTTTCTCCTTCTGCAAGACAATCCCTGAATGCTTTGAGAGAATGAATTTTTCACACCTTATCATTTTATATCCAGAAATTACTCCTATGGGCTGAAGTTATGATCCAGCCTAATATCTAAAGATTTTGTGATGTTGAAAATGCAGAAGGTTTTTCTTTGGACACACCACAAAATGAGAGGCTTTCTGCCCGTGATGGATTAGTTATAAGATCTACCTTTCCACTAGGTATCTCTGTGCCCCATTAACAATTGCTGGTAGAGGATGGAAGGCTATCATATAGTCTGCTATATGGTTGGACCAGCCAAACATGTCTTTCAAAAAAACTATTTATCATATTTTAATCAGATGCCGGATCCATTTCAGAAGTATATTACCTAGTTTGATGTTAGCTCTCAATAAATGGTAAGTAATCATATTATTAAGCATATCCAGTACAATTCAAATGCTACTGAGTTTTCCAGGAATCTGTTCAACTTAGAATTAAATTTTTCTTTTAGAACTTTACCAAAGAATTTGTTACTAGCTTTCTTGCATATTGCATATAAATAGGAGGGAGATTGATAGTAAAACAAATACAGTATGATTGGTCCAAATTGGAAGGAAAAAAAACATGTTGGCCTCTTAATTATTGGATTATTGACATTGGTCTTTGTCAATAGGAATAATTGTCTTTTGTTCACATATTTTTCTGTCCCCTGACTGGCCTCCAGCCCCAATAGATATTTAGCCCTAGGCCAAATTCCAAGGTCATTTAAAATAATATTCAGTTTTCTTAATGTGCAAAGTGTTTGGGAAAGGCAAGAAAATATATTGACCATTAAAATGAATATCTTAGATAGGATTTTCCTGAGTCACCTTGGACCTTTCCTAAGCTGACAATACTAGCTCATGACTCTGTTTTGTAAGTGGATGTAAAAGGCTCCAAGAGCCCCTATTTCAGATCCACCTCTGATACTTACTATGTGGCTGTGGGCTTCTCTTTTCACTTTGCCTCTCTATGCTTCAGTTTCTCTAATATTACTGCGTAACTCATAGAGTTGTTGATTGCAATAAGTGGAAAGTGTTTTCAAGCCTTTATGCACTCTACAAATGTAAAATAGTATCTGAAATGCCTATCAGCTACTATATGGAAGAATTTGAAGTTAGGAAGATTTGAGTTTCTCTCAGAATCCTGTTTCTCTCAGATAGTTACTAATAGTGTCACCCTAGGCGAGTCATTTGACCTATGTTTGGATTAGTTTCCTCATCTGCAAAATGGAGATAATCATAACACCTACCTCCTAGGATTGTTGTGAGTACCAAATGAAATAATAATATGTAAAACACTTTTTATGCCTTAAGAGGCATATAAATATGAGCTGTTATTATCTGAGACAGTTTGGAAGCTGCCAGCTTTTCAAGGATCAGCTCTTTTGAGGACAGACAGATCACTGCATAGATGGGTAATTGCTTCAGTATTGATTCTTATCTTTTCAGGTCACCTATCTTAAATCACCAACAGTTTTTTTCCTGAAATTTCTTTTTGTTTTGTTTTTTATTGGAATTTTGGCTGTTATTCATCTTAAGTTGGATGTTTTGAGGGTAACCTTTTCTAGGATGATGGAAGCTGTTTTACCCATCTCTCCAATACTTTAAAAAATTTGCATTTCACTCATTTCACTAATTTGCATTGAAAGGGTTAAA